TCAAAATTTTGAGATATCGGTTGGGTTTTATATTGCCCGTGTATAAACACCCGTGTACAAATAGAAATTGCCTAAAACAAATTATATATTATAAAAATTAAATTAATAATGTTAATTTTTGGCTATAATTTGCTACTATAAAATAACAAATTAGACTACCATCAATAAAATTAATATCTAAACTTTTACTCCTTATATATCGATAAATTTAAAAGCTATTCTCATAATTTAATAATCAAAAGAAAGCTTAGATCTTAAGCTTTCTTTGACTATTCAATCATGAGAGTAGTTTCGAAATTTATCAAATATGAGCAGTGAAAATTAAAACATCAATTTTTTTTAAGATATTTATCTGCTTGATTCCTATTAACGGCAACCCAATTATTATGAGGTTTAATTATTCACTTAGTACATACAATCTTGTTTATCGGTTTTTTTTGTATTCTGTCCTATTTTATTAGTTTAAAGTATATATTATCTCTTATTATTATGTGAATTAGTATGGTTCATAATAATTTCTTTGAAAAGTATGAATAAATCAATGTGATTTATTATGTTGTCATTTTAAATAACTCATTTTTGTTTACCACAAATTTTTCGATACCCTCCTTAAGCCATACTTGGATATGTATACTAGAGTTGTTTCTAGTTTGAACCTCTAAGTCCTTATCCTATATACAAGGAAAGAACATTGTTAAATACTACGAATAAATCAATCAGATTCAAAAAAAAAATCCTTACATCGTCTTCAGGAATAATATCATCAATTAGTTCAACTGTATCAGTGGTAGCTTTGTAAACAATTTGATTATGAGTTAAGTCTTTCAAAGCTAACACTAGATTAATCGATTTTTGAATCGCAGCTCCTAAGCCATGGATTGTTATTGAGGGATGGCTAAAATTGAGTTATAGTAGTTGATTTTGATATCTGAGAAAATCTCGTTTGTAGTTACCCATCTTTCATTAAGAGCTTTTTTGCCCGCTGTAATTGTCCTTTAAAATTTGAAGAACGAGAAATGTAAATATCCGTTGGAATTGTCGCAGGACGTTGCGGGTTTCTTTTTTTTAAAGCTATAAAAGTAAAAAGTCAATAAACATAAGATTGATTTTATATGTGAATATTAAAACGCTTGAAATTCAATTTAGATTCAGAGTTAATATTTTTTTTTAATTCAAAAGGAGGATGACGTTAAATGGAGACTCAATTTGCGTTCACAATTAGGGATAGGAATCGGCTATATGATTTAGTCGATTAAATCGATTAAACATAGTAATTTACATATAAATTTTTTAGTCGACTAAATCGATTCCTATCCCTACTCACAATATACAAGAAAAAATATCGTTTACTTTGAGATGTATTTTGTAAAGCCTGAACATGTTTTTTTTTCAATTTTCCCATGTTTTAAAAAGGAAGTATTATTAGTGATACGAATCGAAATTGTTAATCGAAAAGTTGTTCAAGTTGGTTAGGTTAGATTTAAAACTTTCGAAGCAATAACAATTAATCGTTGAATGATTATCTACTTAAATGTTAACCAATTAAATTAAGGTTAGACCCGGGTTAACCAATTTAGCATGGTCCCCATGCATAATATAAAGCACTAAAGTACTGTACAAGTTAGCCAATCAAATTAAGTCAGAAATAGCGATATTAACTAAACTATTTGGGACGTCCCAAACTATGTAAAAATTGTATCACACTGTTTTGGCAACAACAATACGTATGGCAGTGAAATTATTTGTCATGTAATTTGGGACATCCCAAATAGTTTGCAATTTTTCGGAATGAAATTGGTTATGCCTAAGGCCATACGTACAAAGTTAAAGTTAAATAATTGTTTCTCATGACCCGCCAGCTTTTAATTTTTATTAATTATAAAAAATTTATAAGCTTTTTTGTCCAAAAAATATTAAAAAAGCTAACTCGGAAGTATTAATAGTAAATAGCTTATAATTAAATGATTCCCTGCGGAATACTATTTTAAAAGTCGATCATCTTAGAGGTGCTAAATTAAGATATATTTCACCAGAATGATCCTTTAAAATATATTTAAAATATGCTTTAATCGTTAATCGTTATTCGATCGGTATAGATCAATGAAAATCCGTCGATGTTAGTGGAGTCTCCGGACGATAATCTTTTACATAATTAAAATTATTAGACTTATCTAGAAATATGAAAGATAACATGTGGACCGGCACGTGTTAAACAAACCTAGCATATAAGTGTACTATATAGTACAAAAATTGAATTATATAGTTTCAAATTTGTTTTCGAACATGTATATAAAAAATTTCGGTGTAGAAATTCAATTCAGATTATATTAACCTTTTACAATATCAAAATGGTTAACACCGGCCGTCTTTTCATAATCAGCGTTTCTGTACTTATCGGTTTTTTGGCATATACTAGTCAAATATTTATTTTTTGGGATTTTTTGGGAGGACTCAACGTACATTGTTTAGTAGTCTTAATACCATTCAACATCTTTGTGATATTAATCTACTGGAATTACTATTTGACCTGCACGACTGATCCAGGAAGAGTGCCAAAAGATTGGGTTAGTTTTATACTAACTCCATTTATATTTTGTTTATTACTGACAGAGTGATGGTAGAATCTTATTATTTCAATGCGAATAGCATCCCAAGGAAAATCAGGATTTAGAAATAAAACGAACCACTCATTCTCCTCGGTATTGCAGGACATGTGCATCTTATAAACCGCCTCGATCACACCATTGTCGAACTTGCAAAAGGTATTCGTTTTATTCACTTACCATTAATTAATTATTATTTTATTATTAATAATATTAAAATCTTTCAGATGTGTATTAAAAATGGATCATCATTGTGAGTGATATACATTACGTTGTTCTGTATACTTTAATTCTTGGTTTCAGTTCAATCACTTAAGTTGAATTTAATTCTTGTTTTTTATAGGTCCTTGGACTAATAATTGTGTAGGATACTTTAATTATGGCCACTTTATCCGCTTTGTTTTCTGGGTTGACGTAGCGTGCCTTTATCATATTATATTAATGATCAGACGAACAATGCGATTAATTGAAGATATATCTTATGTTAGGGTATATATATGTGTGTTAATATAATATTAATGAAATATTATTACTACACGAATTTATGGCTTATTTGAATCTTTTTCATTAATTTAATTCCGTTATTTAGATTGATGAAGAATCATCAACAGTAGAAATTATCTTTTTAATTCTAAATTATGCTGCTGTATTACCTGTATTTTTTTCTGTTGGGATGTTAAGCATGTATCATTTTTATTGTATGTGGACCAATACCACGACGATAGAAAATTGGGAAAAGGATAAAGTTGCTACAATGGTTCGAAGGGGTAAAATTAAAGAGGTTAGTCAAACAAAATATGAATTATTCAAAATTTTGTAAATTTATGTGTATTTAATTCTTATCTAAGTTTGAAAAAAATTTTTGATTAGGTAACTTTTCCGTATGATATTGGATTTATAGAAAATATTCGAGCAAATCTTGGTGATAATCCGTTATTATGGTGCTGGCCACAAGAAATTAAGGGTACTGGGTTATCTTTCCCAATTTCAAAAGACGCAGGTACGACAACAGACGAATCGGATTTGGATATGGACTACATAGTTTAATAATGTTAATCATAATAAAAATATAAATAAGGGTCAGTTTATTAATTTTTTCGAAAACTTGGTTTTCAAACTGAGAATATGTTTAGTACTTCTTATAATTATTATTGAATTGTTTAATTGTTCAGAATAGAATTTTAGAATATTGAAATTTATGTTCTTTTATTTAATTTTATAAAAAATAATTAATTTTTGTGTAAATTAGATTTAAATATATTCATTATGGATCTGGGTTGAACTTATATTAAAGTTTACTTAAATTTTAATCAAAGTAATTTTGATTTTTCTTAATTACAACAATCTTTTTCTTTTCTTTAGACCCAACAATTATATGGCCACCAAAAGATCCAACAATTACTACTTCTTACTTGGCACCAAAGCCATGGCATAATTATAATAATCATTATAATTCTAATTCTCGTAATCAAAAATATTCCCGACCATTTGTTCGAAGAGATAGTGAAGGATATCTAGTTAGGGACATTTCATTAGAAGAACGTGCTGCGTTGATTAATAATTATGAGTGCGAAGGTGAAGATGAGCATATAGACGATCCATATCATAATTCTGATGGCAGTACTTTATATTCTTATAGCGATGAATATCCTGACAATGAAAATGAAAACATAGAAACAATTACATATGACGATTTTGATGATGATAATTATCCTGGGAATATAGGCAGTGATGAAGATAGAAATGATTATGATCAATCAATCAGACGTTATATGCAAAAAGACCAAAAATTTTCGGCTGTTTACGATCAAGAACAATCTCAGAACAATAGGTATAGTAAAAGGAGGGATGAAGATGAAAATGATAATGTGCCTATAGGGTTGTTAATCGGAAAAAAACAATTGGAAGCTATGGGATATGATGGGGAAAACCTTGAAGGTTATTTAAAAACGAGAGGGGAGAATAATCGAATGTTATTTGGCGAAGGAAATAGTTATAAGACCGAGAAAGTTGATTAAAATTAATTTTGTATTTTTATTAATTATATTTTAGACTATACAAAATTTAACTGATGATAAAGGACCTATTTTACGTAAGAAATTGTCAAGATAATTTTAATTTTCTATTTTTCGCCCATAGCCAAGTCACGGGACCATTGGGCGTTAGCGTTACGGCCAGGGGTAAACCCCCATTTTTGATATTGAACCTAGCTGCCGCACCAAAATTTCACGGAAGATCCTCGATTTGATTGGCTAACGGCCGTGATCTACAAAATTTTGGCCCGCATTACATGATTGTTTACATAATTTTTGGCCGGAATTAACTTAACTTTTTCATTCCCAAAATGGAAATTCTTAGAGAAATAGGCCCGCACAATGATAAAATTGACCCAGGAATATTTTTCACTTAATGTGCGGCTGTGGTTTCATTAGTAAAATTTTGAGTAATTTTGGCCTAAATTATTGATCGTCGCTCATAGCCAATCAAAATCGAGGATCTTCCGTGAAATTTTGGTGCAGCTAGGTTCAATTTTTTTGATACTTCTGCGCTCACACCTAAATGTAACCTAAATGTGCCCTAAAATTGCTCTGGCTGCGATATAATCACGTAATTATGGATATAAAAAGTAAAATTTTAGGTGTATCAAAAAAGTAGGTAACGGTAGGGACGGTTAAAAAATTTTAAAAGTTCATGTGTTTTAACAAGGACAGCAAAAGATTCATGTGATTTTGAAGCTTTAATCTGGAAAAATTATACCTAATTTTATAAAATATCGATTTTACTCGTGAATATGTCTCTATCATAATAAAAAAAAGTATTCTCCCCAACGATACCAACTCTATTCTCTTTAGCTCCTCATTCAATCCCAAGTTATTAACAAATTGACCATAAACCGTTCAAGAAATTTAGTAACAATCTCATTCACCCTTTCCTCATCATCTTTTCTTATAAGGGACACTTTAAGAAGAGTTAACCCAGTGATTATCACGAATTATATCCTCGATATAATCACATAAAAATTTTTATTGGCCAAAAAACATTTCGGTTAATTTTATCTCCTCTAATACTAAATATATAACCCGATTATACCGACAAAGAAGCACGTGACTAATTCTGTCCATACCCTAATACTAACCTAACTCTAACACCGGCCATGCTGTGTCGATTAGCTTAATGCCGGCCATTTTGCTGTGCAAAGTTGTGTCGGTATAATTCTCCTGAAGCTATAATATATACCGCATCACATGAACAAATAAGTAAACAAACGTGGATCATCTGACATTTGTTTACATTTTATAGCCAATCAAGATTCCCATGTGATTATATCGAGGGTGATAATTCGAGATAATCACTGGGTTAACTCTTCTTAAAACTTCCCTTCTTATAATTTCGTCCTTAACATCATTCATATCATCATTTTCCTTTGAGAATTCTGATTATTTACGGCAATGTTACGTATGTGATAGAATGTACCATTTTAAATTAGATACCATCCACCAGAACATCAATTAATACATTTCGATATCGAATTTTACATATTTGAATACCCCAAGCATATATTTCTTCAGTAAAAAAACCGAAATAACACTCTTTCTGTAGGAAAAACGCTTGTATCAACATAAACATACAGGTTATTTATTAACCATCCATGTTACACTCACGTTTCACCAAAAGTAATTCCGAGTTTCTACGCGAATCATAACTATTAATAATCTAAACTCTATTGTTACGTATCAATAAAATTCCTTATGGGAAGAATGCTTACCAATCGATGATTTTTTTTTTGATTTGTAAACAATTTATATTCTAGCAAATTCCGTGACTATAAAAGGCTTAGATCAGATTGTTTTACCCAAATTATTAAAGGACAAGTCGTGTAAAAATAATTTTAATCCTTAAAAAAAAAAAAATAATAATAATTTTAATCTTTTAACGTTAAAACATGAAAAATATCGAGTATCTCGAAATTTCTCCTACAAATCTCGAAAGTCTCAAAGAACAAGCAACAGATTGGGCATTATCTCATGGTCTAGTTGTTCGCTCAAATTCTAACCACTCTTCGACAACTGTCCATGCCCCAATTTCTTTGTTTCCTTCACCGTTTCCTAAGAAAGAATTTGAGTTTGCATTAGAGCTGCAACCGATTTTTAACTTGCTATTTCATAAATTGTCAAGGGATCATAAACTTATTGAAAAAGTTATTGGGGAGTGAGTATACATTATTGAATATTATATTAAGATATTGTTCATTGAATTGATATCCACTCAATTTATTTAATTTGTAGCTTAATAAATGTTGATGATTTCAACGAAAAGCTTTACAACATATATCTCACCGTTATAAAAGAAGGAATTACACAGGTAGAATACCATCACTATTTCAACGTTTTATAAAAAAAAAATATCAAGGCTCTATGCTAATTATAATATATGTATTTAGCAAATTTCTTTAGGATTACATAGATCAGATTACATACTACATATGACTCCAAATTCTACCGATGCGCACATTCAACAAGTTGAATTCAATACAATTTCATCTTCATTTTCTAGTTTATCAGCGTTGACTAGTGAATTGCATAAGTATGTTATACCATTACAGGTATCAAATGAATGGTTATTTATGATTAAGTTTAGTGTTGCGGCTTTCGAATCCGAAATGTCTCTTCCGAGAAAATAAATTTTATTAGAGTAAAAGTTTTGGTTTAGTTCCATAACACTAATCTAGATAGATAAAGCAAATAATATTATTTAATAATTTTTTTGCTTTACCTGAATATCCTGTTATTTTAGGTATCTTTTGGAATCAACAAATTATTTTGACGTGTCATCAGCACTTAAAATTGATGCACTTCCAACAAATGAGTCAATGACCAATTTACCGAAAGGTATTGCAAAGGCCCATCAGCTTTATGGCTCTAAAAAGTAATATTTTTATTAGATTTATGTAATCTTTTAAATTTGCTTAAGAAATTTTATTATTAACAAAATCTCGCATATCAATTATAGCGCTGTAGTGTTGATGGTTGTTCAACCTGCAGAGCGAAATGCTTTCGATCAACGATGGATTGAGTATATACTGATGAACAAGTAATTAATAGGTTTATTTTATTTTCAATCATGAATTATTTTCTTATATGTGTAATATATATTTTTAAAAAAAAAGCCATAAGATACATCTCATTCGTAAAACTCTCTTTGAAATCCAACGAGATGGACAATTAGACAAAGATACTAAAGCATTAATTATGTAAGTCCTGAATATAAAACCAAGGAGTTGATTATTCAATTTTGGCAGATTCCTAATTTTTCGTATTTAATTAGCGATAATAAAGAAATCTCTGTAGCATATTTTCGTTCCGGATATAGTCCCAAAGATTATCCAACTGAAAAGGTAATAATGATCTTATCTGGAACAAGCATCAATAACATGCATATAAATTATTCACAATTTTTTATGTGAATCCAGGAATGGGCTGCAAGACTATTAATTGAGCGTTCAAAAGCAATCAAATGTCCTACTGTTGCTTATCAACTTGTTGGTGTAAAAAAGATGCAACAAGTATTGGCTGTTCCTGGTGTTCTTGAAAAGTAAGATTTATAAAATATTACTACTCATTGTCAGCACTGCTTAAACATCATCGAAATATATTTATTCGATCAAACATTTTTTACAGATACATATCTAACCCGTCAGATATAACTAAATTACGATCATGCTTCGCGGGTCTGTATCCACTAGACTCTAGTCCTGAAGGCGAAGCAGCTGCGAAACTTGCTTTGGAACATCCTGAGCGATTTGTGATGAAACCACAACGTGAAGGCGGAGGTAACTTATTTACTTTACGTGTTTTACTTATTAATTCATTTAAATTTATAATATTAAATATTTAATATTTAATATATAATAATACTTTTATGGTATTGATATATAATAAAAATTAAACAGGAAACAATATATATACAAAAGATATTCCTCAATTACTTAGAAATATAACTCCGTTAGAACGATCTTCATATATATTAATGGATTTAATACAACCACCAATGATGAAGAATATTATTATAAGAGAAGGTAAAGTCATTCAAGGTGAAATGATTTCAGAGTTGGGTATTTACGGTGTCTTCATAGGAGGTAATAACGGAGATGAGGACGTAGTGGTTAATGAGATAGGTGGACATTTGTTGAGAACTAAAGGTAGAGAAACAAATGAGGGAGGAGTTGCTACAGGGTATTCTGTTATTGATTCACCCTTATTAATTTAATTAAATCGGATGATTGTATTTATATAGAGTTTTTTTTCTATATATACTTATATATAAAGTCCGATTATGTAAATTAATATGCGTTGTGATATAGAGAATGTGATTGTACTAGATATATTAATTCACTAATTTAATAATTTACATAATGATTTATTACATTATAAAAGACGCATCACGGCGAATTTATGAAATTAGAGCATTTGACTAAATTATAAAATGCGTCACTTACTATATATTTGTTTTTTAACATTTCTTATTGTAAAATCATGTAGATAACATCTAACCCATCTTTCTGGGTTAGACGTTATCTATAATAAGAAATGTCAAAAACAAATAGTAATTGACGCACTTCTTTAATTTTATAAATTCGCCACAATGGCTATTTAAGATTTAACAAAATTTAAATTGGTTACATGTTAAAAATTTTATATAATAAATTGGTATTTATGGATTTTTGTATTTTTTATTAATTGGGGTGAATAAAAATATTAATATACAAAGTATTAGTATTTTAAATCTAATTCTAATTACTAAATTAATATTAGTCACAGAACATGTTTTATACAGGGGTTTATATATGTAAATTTTAACAAATCACTAAAATTAAACTTTTTCGGAATTTTAAATATATTTTTTTTTACTATTTGAGTGCTGCAGAGCGAAAAGCTGGAAGTGAATATTTAAGTTTCACAATGGCGAGTTTAGCCCCTGATGAATTGAAACATTACGTATCGATAATCAGTGTTCTTGTAATAAAAATCGATTAATTAAATTCTTGAATTTTTGCACGACTCTAAAATTTCACAATTAATTAAATTTTTAATTTGAATTATTGACCTGTACGCCCTAACAAATTGATCAAGCAACACTTACTCCAAAAATATTGTGAAATGACGTGACTTACAACTTTGGAATCAGGAATATCTACTACTTTCGCAATCTTCTAGCGATAATAGAAGCCTATTATTATAAACATTTGTTTAAGTTAAATTTAAGGTTAAAATTTGGCCAAAAACATGCAAATTAAACCGCTATAATTCTATAATCAAGATTTTAAATTAACCTTCAGTTCCTTGGGCTCTTAAGTTCTCCAATCTTGATACGTTACCATTAAAATGCTATGAAATATTCATTTGATTCTGAAGTTTGGGGTCTCTGTCTACCAATGATTTATAGTTTCGCTCCTATTTATAGCAGCCAACTCGTTAACGAGAAAATTCTAGTTCATATAGTCAGTTTTTAATTTAAATCAATAATATTACCTATTCTAATTGTATTACTAATTTTCATTAGTATTTGTTTCTGAATTTTCAAAGAAATGTATAAATCCTATAAAATGGAAGAAACCGATAAGTAAACTGAATTTCAGTAAATAAAAAATTATACATTTCAATTTTTTACAATGACTCGCTTCTATAAACCGGACAGTCGCTTTTAAGTCCTTGCTTTGTTCAGTTACTGTTTCTCTAAGTTTGAGATGCTCAACAATAGATCTTTCAAATGTTTTATAAAATCATAAACAGTCAGATAAATCAAATATGAAAACGATTTATATTATTTATACCGTTAGGCTTTACGTGTTTGACATTTCTTTACAAAATCTCAGGTTGTAAATTTTCCTTGAGAAAGTTGAGAATCCAATTCAGGTTTATTATAAGGTTAACTGTTCAGCCTGAAACGTCTCGAGTTTTTAAAAGACCTGGCGTCTCAGAATCTAAGTCATAAGGATTTGATTACGGGATCCCTTTTTTGTGATAAAAATTTTTAATGCAGTAATGTGTCGAATTAATTTTATATAACAAGATCGAATACTTATACACCATAATACAATTTTAATTGATTGATTTTTTATTGTTTTATTTTTTTACACTTTACATTTTTTTATTAATGAAAATAACTATTTTTATTAAAAAATCTATCTATATTAACAAAAAAAAAAAAACTTTTTAAAAAAATAATAATGCTTCAAAGACTTTCGACACTAATTAATAATAAAAAAATTGTTAATAATAATTATTAAATAAATATTTTTAATTTTCAGTATACAAAGCTTCTTTTATGAAGTAAGAAACGTAACTATCTCTCCTTTTTGCAGAAATAGTAGATCTTATTTCAGAAACACATCAAACTACCGATTATGTGTTAGGACCAACCTTCTTGATAACCACTTCCTCCGGAGTCCTACCTGGTGGCCCCCAAAACCTCGACTAAGTGTAAAATTACCCCTAGCCACCCCTTCGCTTAGAAACATTTTCAGAAATAACACTACCTTGACGGTCGTGGTTTCTTATGAAAATGTTCACATCCACACAGGCAGGATTGTTCCGTCCATGTTATCCGTCCAGTTGGTTTCTAACGATAAAAAGGAGCCTGACGGATTTACAACTTCGAAATAAAAATACTTACTTTATTTCTAAAGCACCAAAAACGATGAAGCCTGGAATCTACGTTGTATACATTGAGCGATCTAGTATAGTGTTTTTCAAAAAATAAAAACTATCTAAAAAAATATGTTGTATATATAATAAAGAAAAGGATAAAGAGTAAACAGTAAAAATATAAAAAAAATAACGAAATATATGTGTTTTTGTGTTTATTTCAATTTATAATTGTTATATCTACCCGTGATTTCCCGTGATAATTAATCAATCAAATTGTGTCCGAAGCACATGATAATCATCATATTGTACAAACGAGTGATATGCATGCTTTTGTTACACTAAAGTACAAATATAGACACGCGTGTGGACAGTCAAAATTACATTTTTAATGCCAATTTTTTGACATGACTAGTCTACCTCTTTTTTTTACAGACTCGAATAAAATATCTATACAAAAAAAATAATTCTTTTTCAAACTTGAATTTAATAAACTGATAAGAATATTATACCTTCATTTGCCTCATTTCCTCACTTTCCAGGTCTAGTCAGTGATTCAAAACTACCCCAAGAACACCACCAAAAATTTTTCAGAACGTGACCAAAAGCCAATCACGGTTGAAGATCAGGTGTAACGTAACACGATCGGAAAAATTAAAAACAACCTATAACTCAAAAACCCGCATAAGAAACCATCTAATAAAAAGTTTTCCTTGAGCAATTTTACTATATATTTTTTTAACATCAAACTCAAATACAAACGCTAACCCTAATATTGACAAACTTTTAAGAATTTGTTACCGAAAAATTTTTGGAGGTGCTCTTGGGGTAGTTGTGATTCAACTTCGTGCACGTGAATTTGACTTAACAGTTAAGTCGCGTTTAATGTTTCAAGTGCCACTCGACAAATTGCGAGCAGAAACGGAAAGTTTAGGAAGTCGATTACAGTAAGTTCTTTCAATTAGTTCATTCAATTAAGGTTTAATGTGATCTAACTTATACACGAGTAATACACGAATATAATGCAATCAAAAATATTGTTCAAGTGCTGTTCAGAAAGATATGAAATTCATTTTTCACGCACATATGCATATATATATTTTTTGCACTTGAATAATACATTAAGTGTGCTGAACTCGATGGTACAGCAACAACAAAAGAAACGCATGACCGGTTTGGATTAGAACTCAGCAAAGGTGTATGAACGGTTTGGATTGATTGAAAATCGATCGATATTATCAGTATGATCGGTATAAGATTCGAGTACACTAAAAGTTTTATATTTTCGAAAATATTGTAGATTCCTAAATTTTATATATTGTAACATTAACGTTAAATAATTATATATTAAGGTATATCGATATAATATATAAATACAATATATAGTAAGATTTAACGCCAGTGACTTACATCATTGTTTGCTTCTTGTAAAATGCAATCTATATTACGTGAGTTTTGTAAGGCCATAATTGAAAATTGTTTTTATCATGTTAACATATCACGATAATATTTTAATTCACTTAGAAATTATATAATGTGCCATCGACCAGTTGGTATTGATTTTTTTGAAACGTTAATGTTAATTTTAAAGCCGTTCTATGATGCAAACTTGATTTATTAAACATATACATAGTTATGGCGTCGGAAATTTAATTTGCCCAAGTCGCTAAAAATTTTTATATATACATCAAGTTTAGATTTGATATTTTATTTCGAAATAACCCACAGCAGACAAAATTACTATTATTTTCACGACTAACATTCTTAAAATTTTTTTATATATAAATATTTGGGTTTAAAATTTTATTGCATGTGCAATATATTGCACCTCTTCTGTTATATAAAAATTTTTACTATGAAACCACCTTTGGGCAAAAATACTATTCCTGATGGATTGGCAATACTGATTTTGATGAAGTTAAAAAAAAATTTATTTGAATACTGTTCCTGATAGGGTTCTAAAAATGAACCCTAACCTAACTTTTTTTTATTATAGTAGAATAGCCTTTTTTTAGAATTCTATTAGGAATAGTATGTAAATCAGATTTTTTTTCTACTCTATCAGGAACAGTATTGACAATTCATTAGGAATGGTATTTTTGCCACCTTTGGGGTTCTAATAAAAAAAATTTTCTATAAAATTTTGATATAACCTATACTTCTGCTTTAACACAGTTCTTAATTCTAATTCTAACATTAATCAAAATTTATTTTTTGCTTTGACAAAAATTTTTCATTATATGAAATTGATGATCTTTATATAGTTATAATAGAGGTGCAATATATTGCATCATACAATAAATTTTTTTTTTCCATTGGTAATCCTGTTTATTTTATTATAAGAACAGACTTTCATTTCTACATCAGCATACGAAGAAATCTAAATCTATAGTGTTCTAACCAAAAAGTAAACTCAACCACAGCGTATCTTGCAAATGCTGAAACATCCACTTGCAGTCAGAGCGAACCATTAAACCATTGTGTTTTGCCTAGATGTGACCTGCTTAGCAACACTTGGCCTCCTCCAGAGATCCAGAACTTACTCCAGACTTATTTCCTCTAGATTTCTTGGCTGGCTGTAGTAGGTCGCAATATATATATATTGCGACCTACTTACGTTAG